GCCAGGTGCCAAGGACTTCTCAGAGCCATACTTTGCCTTTTGGACAGCTCTGTTAGAAGATGCTTAGGTTGTACCTGAGGAAATTGGTTCCCCATAACTTCCATCTATCTCTAATCTTTGGACCTCATGGAACACAATGAATGGTTCCCTCTTCCACCCACTGGTTTATTGCCTGGCCACTTTCTTCATTTGGAAACTTCTCTCTTCCAAATGAAAGACCCCAAGGTTTATCACCCTGAGTTCATTGTTTTGAGAAAGATGCTTAATGTGGGCGACGATGTTCTGATGTCCTAGATACAATATATGGCTAAATTTCTGTGTCTTTTCCAACCCCAGTGCATGAAGCTCTTCTGTAATCCCCGGAGCAGAGGCTCTGTGTGCCCCCATTAGCACTGCAATTCCTTAAGGGAAGGTATACTGAGTCTCCACTGGAAGTAGAGATCTGAGACTTCTCAGGTGATGTGACGCCTAAAATTTGGAGTTAGAACTGAGGGAGGTGACCACAGCTCCATAACGTTCCACCATTAGCAAACAGGTAGACAGTTGATACTGGTGCCCTCTTCTCTGTTCCATTCCAGGAGGCAAATGTTGGGAAGTATGGAAATGAAGCTCTGGGACCACTGCATAGTTCTGATACCCACCCTCCCAGATCCAACAGAACAGTTAATCCCCTAGAAACCAAATTTTTGTTCAGCTAAGGGAAACGCCTTAAATGCAAATAGCTGCTGGGTAGACTGGCTCACATCTGTAATACCAGCACTTTGGGAGGCTGGGGCAGGAAGATCACTTGAGCCGAAAAGTTCAAGACTGGACTGGGCAACATAGGGAGACTCCATCTCTATAAAAAATTTCAAAATTGGCCAGGCATGGTGGCTCACACCTGTAATCCCAGCACTTTGGGAGGCCAAGGTGGGTGGATCATGAGGTCAGGAGTTCAAGACTAGCCTGACCAGTATGGTAAAACCCCATCTCTACTAAAAATACAGAAATTAGCAGGCATGGTGGTACAAGCCTGTAGTCCCAGCTACTTGGCAGGCTGAGGCAGGAGAACCACTTGAGCCTGGGAGGCAGAGGTTGCAGTGAGCCAAGATCACACCACTGCACTCCAGCCTGAGTGACAGAGTGAGACTCCATCTCAAAAAAAAAAAAAAAGCAAGGCATGGTGGCATGCATCCATAGTCCCAGCTATTCTAGAGGCTGAGGTAAGAGGATCACTTGGTTGAGGATCACAGTAGGTGGAGGCTGCAGTGAGCTGTGTGATCATGCCACTGCACTCCAGCTTCGGTAACAGAGTGAGACTCTGTCTCAGAAAAAAAAAAAAAAGAAGCAGCAAATAGGAGGTGCCGTCTTACTTCCCATACCCTGGGGACAAAGGACATCCCTCCCTGGACATAGCCATTAGGGACTCTGCTGACCTGCCCTACTGCCACTTTCCCCCATCTTCCTGCATGTAATTGTAGAGAAGAGTGGATGCCCTGAGGAGCCCTTAGATACCTGAAATATGGTAGGGAAAGGGAGGTTCGACATGTGTTCTGAACCCCCCACCCAGGGGCCTCAGCCTACTTCAGATTACTCTCCATGCAATAAGGTTAAGAGCAGCTGTGTTTGTTTTCAGAACCAATCCACACCCAGGGGTGGGACCAGGCCTCTGTCCACTCCTCACCCTATATAGCAAAGTTCCAGCAGTTCCAGGGGATGATCAGCAGAGATACAGACCCCCACAGTTGTTGGGGCACTGGACCCTGCTATACAGGGCACCAGGTGAGGCCTGAAAGTCCAGGCACCCTGAGGAGCTGGGCAAACTAGGAGAGAAGACAGCGCTGGGAGAAAGGAAAGTTAGACCATGGACGGGAAACTTGGGAAGAAGTGGTTCCGGGCTGGGCCAAAAAACCTCATCCTACCCTGTTTCATTGACCTAGGTTTTGCCCTGAGTGCCTCCAGTGTGAGGTGCTCGACTGGCTTTGGGCTGCCTGTTTGGGTTGAGGGTTTGCTCTTAGGAGAGGCGTGTGTTTCTCCCATAGCCGTCACAAGTGAGGGCTTCCGAGGTGGAGGGCCCAGGAGGGTGGGGCGATAGCCAAGTTTCCATCCATCCATCCATCCATCCATCCAATTGACAAGCCATATCAGCTCCTTCAGGAATCCAGTCATTCATTTACATTTAGGTTAAAGACCCTCTCTCTGGTTCCTCTCCAGAAAGCAGTCTGGAGCCGCTCCCTCAACAGACCCTGGCCCTCCCCGGCCGGTCATCTACAGCCCCGCCCCTCGTTCGCCACGCCCCATTCCCCTAACCCTGGCCTTCTTTGTTTCGGAATTCGGTTGCTTACCCTCAGGTATCCCTTAACTCTAGGTAGGAGCACTCTGCAAGGATACGGTCAACTGCTGCTGTCGCCATGGTGACTATTGCAACGCCCTTTGTCTTCACCCCAGGAAAACGTCCGCGGAACCCGTCACCATGGAAACGAACTCTCGGTGCTCTTAGCGCGGCCTGAGCTCGCCCTGCCGCGTGGAAAGGGGAGGAGCAAAATGAAACAAAGGCGGGATTAATGACTTGGAGGCCACGCCCCCTCCGAAGAAGGCCCCACCCTGCCACGACCTCACCCCTCCCCGAAATAGTAATTCGGGGAAATACCCGGCAAATACTGGGGGAGTGTCTTGCCCCCAGCTTCCCTTAAGACCCACGGTCTCTGTAACGCCACAGCAAGTCCTCCCGGACCTCTCAGGGCGATCGCCTCCGGAAGCCCAGCCTCAGCCTCGCAAAGCCTCTAGTCCTTGGCCTTTTCGTTGCGATTATATTCAAGAGGGAGCTTCAGAGGGTGCTGTGAGGTTCCTCTTTGCTTCCCCTTTGCCCTCTTCGCTTTAAGAGGAGCCCTGGCTCTCTGATTCTTTTTGTCTATTGCTCTGTGTACTCACTTATTCAAGACATTTGTGTTGGTGCCTGCCGCTCCTCCCCAGTTCTCCATTACTCTGCCTTTTCTCTAATACAATTTATTTTACTCTATTTATTTAGACGGAGGCTGTCGCCCAGGCTGGAGTGCAGTGGTGCGATCTCGGCTCACTGCAGTCTCCGCCTCCCGGGTTCAAGCGATTCTCCTGCCTTAGCCTCTCGAGTAGCTGGAACCACAGGCGCCGACACCCCTGGCTAATACTTTTGTATTTTTGGTAGAGACGGGGTTTCACCGTATTGGTCAGGCTGGTTGCGAACTCCTGACCTCGAATGTTCCGCCCACCTAGGCCTCCCAAAGTGCTGGGATTTCAGGCGTGAACCACCGCGACCGGCCAATTTATTTTGTTTTAAAAACTTTATCAATGTTTTTATTTGAGACAGCTGTGGCGCGATCACTGCAGCCTCTACCTCCTGGGCTCAAGCGATCCTCCCACCTCAGCCTCCCGAGTAGCTGGGGCTACAGGCGCGCGCCGCCATGCCTGGCTAATTTTTTTCTACTTTTTTATTTTATTTTATTTGTAGAGATAGGGTCTCGCTAAGTTTCCCAGGCTGGTCTCAAACTCCTGGGCTCAAAATATCTTCCCGCCTCGGCCTCCCAAAGTGATGGCATTACAGTTGTGAGCCACCGAGCTTCGCCCTAATACAGTTTTTAAATTCATTCATTCCAAGGTTCTCGGGGTGGGCGGTGTGCTCAGTGGCGTGCGGTTTCCTCTCATATTTCTTCCTTCCCGCAGTATTTCTGGGCGGGCTCCTTCTGTCTGTTTCTTCCCATCTTCCCCCTTATCCTGAGACTGGATAATTCTTGCATAGTCTGGGAGGTAGCAGAGAAACCGAGTTCGAAGCCTCGACCCGAACCTTCAGACGGGAAATTGGAGCAGGTGGTGTAGTTCCTGGACACTAAGGACCTCCCTCTTCCCCGCAACCCGTAGCCCAACGACCCTAAAAGTAAAAACCCTGAGTCTCCGAGTCAAGACTGACCTGGCAGGGTGGGGACCGAGTAGGCAAAGTTGGGGAGCCCAGGGGGTCCCCAGGGGAGGAAATGGGTGAGACGCCTGGGACCGCGGTCTCCAGAATTCGCCTGGGAGGGAGGGTGGCGCTAAGGCGCCGCCTGCCTGGGGAGCGGCTAGTGTCCGCTGGGGCCGGATGCTTGGGTCCCTACGTGAGGTTCGCTCTTCCCAGGTTTCTTCCCCAGGGAACAGAGCTTGGGCAGGGGCCGCCCCCGCGTCCTACTGGAGCTCTGAGGTGCGGTCAAGCGCAGAGAGCGAACGCGCAGCGCCAGATTCTGTGGGCGCCGGAGATCAGGCCCAGTGAGCCGCAGCTGAGCTTAGGTGGGACAGGAACAAGGATGAGGTGGGGAAAGGCGCTGGGTTCCTGGAACCCCAAGGGGACACTGAACTGGTACGTGTCGCTTGGGATCCAGGTGTCTTCATTTTGGGATGTCTGACAGGTGTCCCCAGGGTATGGGAAGTGGGACTGGGCACCCCATTTGCTTTTTTAATTTTTTTTTAGATAAACCACGTTTCCTATCTTGGAAAATGGTGCCACTCACTTATGCAAGCCTACTCCTGTTCCCTCACTCCTCGTTCAGTCCAAAAGCAAATCTGTCGTCTTCTAAATATATCTCAGGTTCATGAGCCTAGCCTCCTCGTCCCGCCGGTCTTCTGCTGGACCAGTCCGCCATCTTGTGACCGGACTCGGGAATAGCGCCCTACTTCCCGGTGGCCTCCACTCTTGCCCCAAAGGCAATGTGTAGCCATGGCAATCCTTTGCAAAGAGAAATCAGATCAAGTTCCTCCTCTGGCGAAATCTCTCTGGTCAGGGGTTTAACCGTCCAGGTGCTCCTGGCAGCACTCTGCCCTCCCCACATCATTGCTCGTTGACTCGTCTCCTCAAGCAGGATGTTATGCACCAGAGTGGCTGTGGGTGAGGACATTCTGTTCCTCTGGCTGGCCTGGCACTGATTTCCACCCTGAGCTGGTGTTGACTCTCTCCTTCCTCTTGGCCAACCACTCTTCCACCACCAATATAAGCCCACACTGGAGGCCAGCAGGCAGTCATGCATTTTATGGCAGGCCCTGCAAGGAGCAAGAGTCTGGGGCCTCTGTGCCTCCACAGCACCCCTCAAGCCCTGTACATGGTCTTCTTAATAGTGCTGGTCATGATGAGTTTGGCATTTGGTAAGTGGATCTAAGGGGTCAGAAGGGTCTCCTGGCCTACGGGATGGAGAAACCCACAGACACCAAGCATCTGGGTACATCTGTCCAGGACGCTCAAGTAAACACAGGCAGGAGGAGAGATGGGATGGATGGGTTTGGTAAGGAATGCCTGCTCATGGACTGATGTGCACTCTGAAGGAGAGTTCTTTCTTTTTTTTAGATTGAGTCTCACTCTGTCTCCCAGGCTGGAGTGCAGTGGTGTGATCTCAGCTTACTGCAACCTCCACCTCCCAGGTTCAAGCGATTCTCATGCCTTAGCCTCCCGAGTAGCTGGGATTACAGGCACAAGCCACCACAACCAGCTAATTTTTGTATTTTTAGTAGGGATCGGGGTATCACCATGTTGACCAGGCTGGTCTGGATCCCCTGACCTCAGGTGATCTGCCCACCTCGGCCTCCCAAAGTGCTGGGATTATAGGTGTGAGCCACCGCACCCAGCCTCTGAAGGAGATTTCTAGTGACCACCCCAGGGCTGTCTCACTCCACAGCAGTGACCTGAATAGAGATACTGAAGAAATACTCTCCAGATCTGAGAGCAACACAGAATAGGGAGGGTTAGGGAGTGTGCTGGATGACAGAATCAGAATCCACAGGATAGAACAAGACAGTCCAGCCTGCTGGCCTCCCCACTTGCAAAGCACCAGCCACAGAGACATGGGATTCAAAGCATTTGTTTAGCACTTAACTCTGCCTCACAGCAAGTGCACTGCTGGGTCTGGGGACTGGTTAATGTGTGCTCTGGGCTTAGGACCGCAGGAAAGAGGGGATGTATATACCTGCAGTTGGGGAAGGAAGCAGAGCGTTGGGGCTTTGGTGGTTTTCTGAGATAGGAAGGGAAGGAACAGTGGGATTGAGTGGCCTGGAATCAGGCAGTGGTGGGGTGTGAGGGAGAATGAGGTGTCAGTGGGGTCAGCACTTCTCTGTATTCTAGGTAAGTTTGTTCCTATCAATTGGGAACCCCCTCAACCACTTCCATTCCCCAAATACCTGCGCTGCTACCGATGCCTCTTGGAGACCAAGGAGCTAGGGTGCCTTCTGGGATCTGACATCTGCCTCACCCCGGCTGGCAGCAGCTGCATCACTCTCCACATAAAGAACAGTAAGTGGTTTTCTCCTGCTGTGGGCCCAGCACTCTCCCAAACTGAAACTCTCTCGGCCTCCTAAACTGTACTCCAAGACCCCATAAGACACTGCTCCAACAACCCTGTCTGTCCATTTTTTTTTTCCTGAGACAGTATCTGGGTCTGTTGCTCAGGCTGTAGTGCAATGGCACAATCTTGGCTCACTACAACCTCCTCACTACGTTCGCCTCTCCAGTTTAAGCAATTCTCATGCCTCAGCCTCCCAAGCAGCTGGGATTACAGGTGCGCAGCACCACAAACCGGCTAATTTTTTGTATTTTTAGTAGCGATGGGGATTGGCTATGTTGGCCAGGCTGGTCTCAAACTCCTGACCTCAGGTGATCCACCTGCCTCGGCCTCCCAAAGTGCTGGGATTACAGGCATGAGCCACTGCACCCAGCCTCTTTCCTTTTCTTCAGAGCCACTCTATCTCCACTTCCACTACTTTCTCTCCTCAGTCTGTAGCTGAGTAGCTTCCACCCTATCAAGGTGCCCAGACTTGACGGGGACCCTCCAGATCTCCAGGTGCCCTTGCCTGTCCTCAAGCTGCCTGCTCCCCCCTCTCTTTGCAGTTACTGCTGGCGTTGCTCTTCTCCTGCATCCTCCACTGCTTCTTCAGTCTCCTCCACGGAGTCTTACTCTCTCTGACCCTTACTGGTTCGTGTTCACCAAAGTTTGGTCCTTAGCTGCCTTCCCACTTCATATACTCTCTCCAGAGGATTTTACCTGCTTTGCTGGCTTCAACCAGCAGCCACATAGCACTCTTCTGAATCTGAATGTTATGTCAAACAGCTCTCCTCACATCCCATTGGCCATTGGACATCTCCACCTTGCTGAAAATTGACTCCTTCTTGATGCCTGCTCTTCTACAGATCCCCTATCTTTCTTCAGTTAGAAAAAACATAAGACATAATATGTGCTAGGCACTGTTCTAAACACTTGCAATCCACTGAAGCAGGTATGATTACCATCCCCATTTTACAGATGAGGAAACAGAGCTGCAGAAAGGTCATAACCTTGCCCTAGTCTCACAGGAGCTGAACCAGGATTTGTGATGGCTCCAGAGACGGTGCTCTGAACAACCACTGCATGCAGCTGCCTGTGTTCAAATCCTCTCGTTACCCTTTTAACATAGCTGATGCATAGACATAGGTCAAATATCAGACTATACAAAACCATCAATGCAAAGCTTCCCACTACTACCCTAACCCACCTGGCTCCCCTGCACACGTGGCCACTTTTTTTTTTTTCTTAAAAGACGATCCCTCCCGCAATGTTTTGTGCACATTCTACCCTGCACAACTATGCTGTTTAGTATTTTTTCACCTCTTCTTTCCCCCCAAGGTAGTAGCATCCCATTGTAAACATTATTCTGCACTTAACAGGGGAACTGAATGTTTCAATGTCAGTTTGTAAACAGCTTCCGTGTTTTATTGACCTGCTGCGTACTGCCCGATAGCATGGGCATATCACAGCTGATTTCCTCATCCCACTATTGATGGGCATTTAGGCCATTTCTCTCAAGCAGGGCAGCAGCAAACATCCCTGTACATGACTTCTTGGGATGCAGGCACAAACATTTTTCTCTATTGTGTATAACAGCGGGAGACATCATCTTATTCTTACTTTTGGTCTGAAAAATAATGACAAAACACCTCCTTCCTGCCATTCAACCTCCAAAACATTTCCCAGCTTTTTCTCGCATGCTCCTATGGTGCTAGTTCTTCCCACTTGGCTCAGTCAGTCAGTCCCAGCTCTCCCTCCAACCAATACACTTCAAATGGCTCTTTTCCTCCAGTCTTGCAGAGAAAGGAACTTTAGTGGAGTTCCACGGCTGGTGGACACTAGGCAGCTCCGCCTTTGCCTAACTCCAGGAATCCTTTCTTTTCTTTTTTAAAGATGGGGTTTTGCCACGATGGCCAGGCTGGTCTTGAACTCCTGACCTCAGGTGATCCACCCACCTCAGCCTCCCAAAGTGCTAGGATTACAGGCGTGAGCCACTGCGCCCGGCTCAGGAATCTTTTCTTTTTCTTTATTTTGGTTTATGAGTGAGGGGATGAGAGGATCGGGGCTCTTCCTGGGGACCCCTGTATCACTGGTGCCTGTGGTCCTTCCCCAGTCAGTGGTTCTGACATCATGGTGAGTGACTGCCGAAGTAAGGAGCACATGAGTGATTGTTCAAATACCCGAACTTCTCCGGTTTCTGGCTTCTGGATATTCTCTCAATGCTGCTTCCTGGATTTCTGCAATGACCCTCAAAACAGAGGACACTATACCTTAGAGTGACTGCAACAACCTTTGGCATAACATTCCATCCATTTCCAGCCACCTTCCTGACTTCTATCTGGGCTTGGCCAGGACTTCTAGTCCTTCATACCAGCTCTCCTTGCCTCCCTCCAGTCACGGGACCCCAGCCTTGGTCTTCCTCTTGGTTGATGCCCTTCAACACCCCTACTCCCACTCTGCACCTCCCAGTCCCGCCCCCACCCACCCCCAGGTTTCCTCTCTTGTCCCTAGTCCCTGGGTGTTTCTCCAAAATAAATTTGTGTGCAAACTGTTTGTTTGGTTTGTCTCGTTCTTCTGGTGGAGGTGAAGGCTGAGGGAGGTGCACCTGCTGACTGCCTACCATGGGGGCAGGTAAGGGGCCCCTAGCCCTGCTGAGCTCTGCTCCTGCCCTGCCTTGGTATGTGATTCAGCTCTAGACCCTAAAAGGGGAAGAGGAAATGAAAGCACTCCTATGGTGAACACCAGAAGGTCAGGGCATCCTTGGCAGTGCCGTCAGACCAGAGCTGTGTGGGAGCTGGAGGGTTTAGAGGGCTATCTTGGTGGGAGTGGGGGCTGCAAAAGGACCAGGCCCAGATACAAGGAGGTGGGCGAGAAGGCCACTCTTTTTTTTTTCTTTTTTAATTTTTTTATTGTCCTACCTCTCTGCAGAAAGGCCACTCTTTTTTGAGATGGAGTCTCACCGTCACCCAGACTGGAGCAGTGATGTGAACTCGGCTCACTGCAACCTCTGCCTCCCCGGTTCAAGCGATTCTTCTGCCTCAGCCTCCTGAGCAGCTGGGATTACAAGCACATTTCACCATGGCTGGCTAATTTTTTGTATTTTATTAGTAGAGATGGGGTTTCATATTGGCCAGGCTGGTCTCGAACACCTGACCTCAAGTGATCTGCCTGCCTTGGTCTCCCAAAGGGCTGGGATTACAGGGATGAGCCACAGCCGGGCAGAGAATGCTACTCTCAAAGAGACGTTAGGTTAATTGGACTCTTGGTCTCTTCAATTCTGGGCCAAGTTCTTCAGCCTCTGAGGGTGTTTTCCAGGTTGACCTGCTAGAGTTGTATAAACCTGGGCCTTTCTCTTATACTGATGTCAGATGTCATGAAGAAGGGTGGACCTAGCAAGGTGGGGGTTGGAGGGCACATTAAGGATTTGTACCTTTGTACTCCAACTGCCTCATGACCTAATTATCATTGGTTTGGTGTCTTCCGTCAAGAGTACAGGCCACAGAGATTTGTTAACACGTGTGCAAAACACTGTGCAGGTACCAAGTTACTGTACAGTGCCATTTCCATCAAGCACAGACAAAACTCATCTAAGCTACTACCAGTCAGGACAGCAGCTACCCCAGAGAACTGGGGAAAGCACCTGGGAGGGATACACAGGCAGGCTTGGCTGCAGATAAAGGTCTTAATGCTGACTTGGTGGCTGGTTACACAGGTATGTGGTTTACAAAAATCCATCTTGTGATATGTGTAAGCTTCTGAATGCTTCACCAAAAAGGTTTGAAAATAAATAAATCGGCCGGGCGTGGTGGCTCAAGCCTGTAATCCCAGCACTTTGGGAGGCCGAGGCGGGTGGATCACGAGGTCAAGAGATCAAGACCATCCTGGTCAACATGGTGAAACCCCGTCTCTCTTAAAAACACAAAAAATTAGCTGGGCATGGTGGTGCGTGCCTGTAATCCCAGCTACTCAGGAGGCTGAGGCAGGAGAATTGCCTGAACCCAGGAGGCGGAGGTTGCGGTGAGCCGAGATCGCGCCATTGCACTCCAGCCTGGGTAACAAGAGTGAAACTCCGTCTCAAAAAAAAAAAGAAAAAAAGAAAACAAATAAATCAGCCAGGTGGGCATGGTGGTGTGCATCCATAGTCCCAGCTACTTGCAGGCTGGAGCAGAAGGATCACTTGCGCCCAGGAGTTCAAGGCCAGCTTAGGCAACATGGCAAGAGCATTAAGAAAAAAAGCCAAACACTGTGTATGCTTTTGACTCTAAGGCAAATACAGTTTTTTGAGAGGAAAAAGGTGCTAACTTCCACTTACGTATCCACATTTACATGCGTTTTCTCAATCATCTGAGGCACTATCCCTACTTGACAGGTGACCAAATTGAGCCTGAAGAGACTGACTTACCCAAGGGGTAAAGGAGCTGGGATTGGGCCTCCCAGCCACAAAGCTGCACTGCTTTTCAGAAAAAAAAAACGTTTCATAACCCAAGCACTGGGGTAAAAGACTTGGAAGGGCAGACACCTGGCTATGCTCATCTGGGTATCCTGCCGCTCAACACTGAGCCTGGCTCAGAGCAGTGTATGTTCGGTATGTTTTTTTAGTGTATAGAAAAGGCTAGAGTTGTATCCATCACTGCTTTCTATATGCTTGCAATATTTCAAAATTAAAATATTAAAATGAAGATGCAACCACTACGGCCCAAGGAGTGCTCTCTGTACTTGGCCCCTCAACCCTGGAACCCGAGGGTGTCCTAGATGCCACATCCTTAAAAAGAACTAAGGAGAGCTGGGCGTGGTGGCTCACGCCTGTAATCCCAGCACTTTGGGAGGCCAAGGCGGGTGGATCACGAGGTCAAGAGATAGAGACCATCCTGGTCAACATGGTGAAACCCCGTTTCTACTAAAAATACAAAAAATTAGCTGGGCATGGTGGCACGTGCCTGTAATCCCAGCTACTCAAGAGGCTGAGGCAGGAGAATTGCCTGAACCCTGGAGCCGGAGGTTGCAGTGAGCCGAGATCGCGCCATTGCATTCCAGCCTGAGTAACAAGAGCGAAACTCCGTCTCAAGAAAAAAAAAAAAAAAAAAAAAAGGCCAGGTGTGGTGGCTCACGCCTGTAATCCCAGCACTTTGGGAGGCCGAGGCGGGTGGATCACGAGGTCAAGAGATCGAGACCATCCTGGTCAACATGGTGAAACCCCGTCTCTACTAAAAATACAAAAAATTAGCTGGGCGTGGTGGCGCATGCCTGTAATCCCAGCTACTCAGGAGGCTGAGGCAGGAGAATTGCCTGAACCCAGAAAGCAGAGGTGGCGGTGAGCCAAGATCGCGCCATCGCACTCCAGCCTGGGTAAGAAGAGTGAAACTCGTCTCAAAAAAAAAAAAAAAAAAAAAAAAACTAAGGAATGGCAGAAGGCCAGGGTCGCAGCAGCAGGTGACTCTGGGATGTGGCTCTGAGTTCCTGAGTCTTCCTGGTTTAGAGAAAGTTTCTTTTTTTTCTATTGAGACTGAGTTTCATTCTTGTTGCCTAGGGTGGAGTGCAGTGGCATAATCTCTGCTGGCTGCAACCTCCACCTCCTAGGTTCAAGTGATTTTCAGGCCTCAGGAGTAGCTGGGATTACAGGTGCCCGCCACCACATCTGGCTAATTTTTTTTTTTTTTTTTAACTAGAGATGGGGTCTCATCATGCTGATCAGGTTGGTCTCGAACTCCTGAACTCAGATGATTCCCTCCCACCCTCCCCACCCCCCGCCAGCCTCCCAAGTGCTGGGATTACAGGCATGAGCCATGGTGCTTGGCTGATTTCTTTTAAGTGAAAAGACCTGGCATCTTCAGGGTTTAATGTTCTTTCTAGGTTTTGTAGGGTATGTTTAAAGCTGGGAACACCCACAGTCCCTATGCTTTGATCTCCAGCTGAGCAGAGGGTGGGGAAGGATGTGTACCCTTTATGGGGGGCCGAGAGGAAGCCACAAAAGAAAGTGCCCTGCAACTCTATCTGGATCCCACACCTCATTAACCACCCCCCTTTTTTTTTTTGAGATGGAGTTTCACTCTTGCTGCCCAGGCTGGTATGCAATGGCTCACTGCAACCTCCGCCTCCCAGGTTCAAGCAATTCTCCTGCCTCAACCTTCCCAGTAGCTGGAATTACAGGCATGTGCCACCATGCCTGGCCAATTTTGTATTTTTAGTAGAGATGGAGTTTCTTCATGTTATTTAGGTTGGTCTTGAACTCCCGACCTCAGGTAATCTGTCTGCCTTGGCCTCCCAAAGTGCTGGGAATTACAGGCGTGAGCCACCAGACCTGGCATTAACCCTCTTTAACCTGTTTATACCTGCCCACACTTCAGCCTGACCCCACAAACAGTGTGACACAGATTTAGCCCAGTCCCAGTTTATTGTGGAGGAAAACAGGGGACATGGAGCTGAGCAAGACACACCCTTCCCTCTCCTCTCACAGGCCCCTAGGGAGGTGGGTGTCAGAACTCAGTGAGGGGAAAGGGGGCTGAGGAGGCCAGAGACTAACAAGAGAGGACAGAAGAGAGAACAAGACCAGGACAAAAGGGGGGTGGTAGAGACAGTGAGACAGGGACACAAGATTGCCAAGTCTGGGTATCTGCATAGAATTCTATTCCTCCTCATTCTTTTTTTTTTTTTTTGAGACAGTCTCACTCTGTTGTCTAGGCTGGAGTGCAGTGGTGTGACCTTGGCTCACTGCAACTTCTGCCTCCCAGGTTCAAGCAATTCTTCTACCTCAGCATTCTGAGTAGCAGGATGCTACTCCGGGATTGGAGAGGTGCGCCACCACACCCGGCTGATTTTTGTATTTTTAGTAGAGACAAGGTTTTACCACGTTGGCAGGGTTGGTCTCAAACTCCCCAACTCAAGTGATCGAGCCGCCTCAGTTTCTCAAAGTGTTGGGATTACAGGCGTGAGCCACCATGCCTGGCCTCCTTATCCTTCTTGCTGCAAGTTCAGTCTGGTAGTGGGTCTTAGAGACGGACAAGACAGAGGAAAAAGAGGTAGATCTAAATAGGCAAGTGACCAGATTGAGAGAGATGGGGGATACTGGAACACTCATAATGGAGAAGGAATGGAGGATCCACTGTGACTTTCCCAGGTCAGCCTGTCTGGGCAGAATCCACACTAGAGATTACTTTCTAGGAGGAAGAACAGTACCAGTGTTCAAGAGATAAATTACACCAAAGGCATATAGATGCTGGTGGTACACCAGAGGGAAGCCTAAGAAATCACTGACCAAAGAACGTGGGTGTTTTCAGAGGGGAGTGCAGGATGCCGACAGTGTCAGAGAGAGACACTTGCACAGAGTGGAATTCAGGAAGCGTGAGGTGTCAGAGTCCAGTCTGGGGAAGAACCAAAAGTCCTGAACTATTGAGGAACAAATACATGCGGCGCAGGTCAGCAAAAGACAAGCCCAGGTTCAGGGGCAGTGTGGCCACGGGGTCCAGGCCATCAGGCTCCTTCCCAGCATGGAAACTGGGGAGGGGCAGTGAGAGGTTCAGGGCCTGGTAGAACCACTGAATCTGCCAGTCAGACAAAGGCAGGGCCAGGGGCCTGTCATGGGGCTTCTGCTGGGAGCTCTGGAGCTGGGGGCTTGACCAGGAGTTGCAATAATCATACTGGCAGCACTGGGCCTGATACCAGTACTCTGCAAAGTAGGTGTTGCGTTTTTCTTGGCAGCGGTAGGAATTGTACTGTCCACAGCCTCGAACGATGAAGCGAACCTTGACATCTGAGGGAGAGGGGAAAGCTGATAACCTCTTCCAATAGCTTCCTATAGTCCACAAATGCCAGCCACTGACTGTCCCCATCTCTTACCCAGACCTGACTTCTAACCCACACTCCTTCAAAAAAAGCTAGAAAAGTGAGCTCTGCCGGCCCCCTAGAACCTTAGACCCCTCCTTCCAAGATGCTTCTCTCTTCTTATTTTTTTGAGACAGAGTCTCACTCTGTCACCCAGGCTGGCATGCAGTGGTGCAATCTTGGCTCACTGCAACCTCTGCCTCCTGGGTTCAAGAGATCCTCTCACCTCAGCCTCCCGAGTAGCTGGGATTACAGGTGCACATCACCATGCCTAGCTATTTTTCTGTAGAGACAGGGTCTCACTATGTTGCCTAGGCTGGTCTTGAACTCCAGAGCTTAAGTGATCCACCTGCCTGAGCCCCCCGAAGTGCTGGGGTTACAGGCATGAGCCACTACGCTCGGCCCCTCCTCTCTTCTTGTACCCCACACCTGGAGCAGTGCTGATCTGTGAGAGGAGAGGAGACCAAGCCATTGGCTGCCCCACTAGCAGCCCCTTCCTGGGAGCTTATTTACCATAATAGATGGTGATCACCATGCATGGGGATGAGCTGCTGATGGTACACTTCTCTGAGCCTGAAATGCATCCTACAGAAGGGTCTTCTAAGAGGCAGAAGTGGCAGGTCCGGATGTCAGGAACAGGAACTGGGGAGGCAGAAGAAAGGATGGATGGGGGCACTGGCTCACTCTCAAATACCCTGGCCAGTAGGAAGCCCAAGTATCCACGGCCAAGCTCCACCCCCACCCTAGACTCAGTTACCCCTCCCTCCCTCCCTGCCCCTGGGCCCCACTTACCCTTTCCCACCGCGAAGCCCACCATGACCAGCACACCTACAAGCACATAGGCCTTCATTGTGGAATTCTGGGGAGACGGGCAGTTTCTAAGGGATGCCCTGAAACCCCACCTTCTTGTGACTATGCTCCTTAATCCTGAGCTGCAGGGTGGTTTTGACAAGGTCTGAGCAGGAGCTACTGTAAGTGCAGAGCTATATTCCTGCCTGCTGCAGCATTCTGGCTGGGGAGGAAGTTATTAATTTGGCAGGAGGGACAGACAGTGTGTCCTCACCCACAAGGTCTGGTTCCTGAGTGTGGGAGCAATGTCCCAGATGAGGCAATACCTGGTTCTTTATCCAGTGTCTGCCTTGGTCCTGCATACCTTCCAAAGGCCTATTCCCTCCCATGGGAAGTCCATGGGAGTGGCACTATGTGCCTCCCTAGGGGCCTCTGCCACTATGTGCTGTCTTCCTCATACAACAGAGCCAGTCCCCACTGTGCTGGGAGAAACTAGCCAGGAAACCAACCATCCACAGTCTCAGCTCCCCCAACAGGAGGCACACAGACATCACTGAGCAGCAATTCTAGACCCTGTCCCGCCTCATTCCACCCTTTAGTTACAGTGAGTTTAGGGCTACTTTTACTTTGAAACCAAAACTAGGCCAGGCGCAGTGGCTCACATAATCCCAGCACTTTGGGAGGCCAAGGCAGGCAGATCACCTGAGGTCAGGAGTTTGAGATCAACATGGAGAAACCCCGTTTCTACTTAAAATAAAAAATTAGCCAGGCTTAGTGGCGCATGCCTGTAATTCTAGCTACTTGGGAGGCTGAGGCATGAGAATTGCTTGAACCTGGGAGGCGGAGGTTGCAGTGAGCTGAGATTGCACCACTGCACTCCAGCCTGGGCAACAAGAGCAAAACTCCATCTCAAAAAAAGATGGAGTTGCTGATTAAGTCCCTTACATAAACAGACAGTCACAGGTATCCAAACAAATACTTCTCATCTTTGAAACATGCTTCTTCTATCTTTTTCTTTTGACCTTGCCCTTCATCACATGCAGTCCTAGGAATTCTGTTCTATACTAAAAACATCACCCAATCCACTGAGCACAAATCTGTCCTGGTTTTCAATCTGGAGAGGTTGGGCTGGGCCATGAGGGCCCTGAAGTCCAATATACCATCACCTTCCCTTCCCCAACCACAAGCACCAGCAGACTAGCTCATGGCCTTTTCTTACACTTTATTTCATATTCCCACCACAATAATGACTCCTTTAATTTAAACTAAAAACCATACAGGGTTCCTGAAACGGTGGTAAAAAGGAAAGGAAGTGTCAAAGACTGCAGGACAGGTGGGGTGGGGAATCAGCGAATCGTCTTGACTGGGCTCTTGAAGTTGCTGGCGGCTTGGAGTTGCAGCTGGTAGGCCATCGGATGGATCTTGAAACCGTAGAGCCTGGGCCAGGGCAGAGGTCAGACGCAGCAATATGAGCCCCATCCAGGCCCTGCCAGTGACCTGCATTCCCACCTTCCCACCTGAGCTCCTACATGGACCTGTTCAGAGCTTAAGCCTAATAGTTTCCAACTTCTCAGCTCAAGAACATTCTATGATAAGATAACTGAAGCACAGACCATCAAATAACTTTCCCATCAGTCACTTAGCAGGGAGATGTCCCGATTCTGGGAGAAGCAGGCCTCAAGAAAGGGACATGCTTCGTCCTCCCTTCTCTCTAGAGGATCTTAGGCCTTTCCTTTGACCCTTAATAACTCTCCCTGCTCCCTACCTGGGCACAAACTGGTTGGCAGGTCGTTTGGGCCGGTACTCGGGATGCACCATGAAGAGCATGTGAGGGAAACCAGTGCCAAAATAGGCGCCATCCGTGTGATGGTGCCGCGATGACTTGGGTGTGTATACGTCCATGCACTTGGGACAGTACAGCTTCACCATGGCTTCACCTGGGATGTCTGAAAGGCCTGGGAGACAGCCAGACTCAGCAGGCCAGGTAGCCCCCCTTTCCCACCCTCCCCTCCCCTCAGGACTCGGGCCCTAATGTGCTGAGCCCAACTCCTTTCCGTAAGACTGTCACACAGTGCCTTCCTTTCCCTGCTTCAACACTCACCAATGGGAAGCATTGGCTGGTTCTCACAGTACACACGGGGACAGTAGCCAAAGTCTCCCTGCTGGTACTTTTCCAACTGAGGTGAATAAAATGGAAGGGGTTGGCAGGTAGGTGTTAAGAGAAGAGGTAACTCCCTTCTCAGCCCAACCCACATCACTTTGTCCCCCCATCCTCCCACCTCTGTCCAGAGGCCCCTTCTCTGGCCCAGATAGGCTCTCAAACTCTTATGTTGCCTTTCTTCCAGTCAGGCAGGCAACAAACCATCAGAGCCATTCACTGTTTGTTCCTTGAGGAAGAGCCAATCTATGACAACTCTCTGTTCAAGGTCTGTCTCCCTCCCTGAAAACGATCCCTTCAGGATGACCCCCAACCAGTATTAAATTCACTGGCCCAAGTTCTGGGATTCTTCCCCTCTTCTCAGCTAGCTTCCTTAACTGGGCTGAAACATGACTTCTTGCTGCAGGAACCTGTTTCTCTTACTGCTCAGGAAGAGGCAAGTGGGAGCAGAGAGGCCTCACCATCTGGGCGATGCCACGGTTGGTAAGGATGTAGCGGGCGTGGATCAATCCATAAAGCATCTCAGCTGCCTGCTCAATCAAGTCACTCTGGTTGGGGTTGTCTTCCAGTTCTTCATCTGAAACACAGCCCAGCCAAATGCAACCACTTGTTTTTCAGCTTTCCTAGGTGCCCTGCCCACACCCAGGGGCTGCTAGCTATTGTTTGCTTACTACCTACTTTTGAGCCTTACCCTATCCAACACCTGGGTATGTGACCCAGAAACCTGGGCTTCTGACGCTTTCACCAGCCCAAGGCAGAGCTCTGCCTTCTCTTCACACCTCGTCAGCCTCTGCCCTCTCCTCTCCCCTCCCTCCCAACTCCCTCCTCAATACATAAATGCAACAATATCAATGCAGAAGATCAAACTCCAGACGGGAAGGTCCAAGGTAGGAGAAATAGACAGCAAATGAGACTCATGAGGAAACCCATTTTGGAACAGATCCGAACTGTGGATTTAAAAAGCATGGGAACAAGTGATACACGTCACAAAACTAGACAAGAGTCAGGTGGAGGATCAAAATAAAGCATGAATTTGGGGTTAAGAAAATCAGAGAACCAAAAGAAATTTCAGAATTCAAGCAAGTGAATAGGGATTTGAAGAGAAAAAAAAAGTGCACGCACACACACAAAACAACCCTGAGGGTGCCTCACCAGGCTCCAGGTCCAAGATCATATCTAGAGCTTGTCGATAGTGAGGGACCTGCTCATTGAGTCCAGTAAGATTAAATTTGTCCTGGATGTAGTCTTCATCCACCTGTCAGGATATGGAAGCCAAGAGGGAATCCCTATCAAAATCTCCATCTTTAACGTGGACAAAATGCTCTAACTGATGCCTTGTTATCAACATAACTGCATCTGTTCCCCCTTGTTTCTCACTTGAAACTCAGCAGAAGTACTTGCGTCTCTCCTCAGTTCACCTGTCCTCCCTCCCATAAAAGCTTCGGCTTTTGTTTTCTAAGGATAAGCAGGTACAGCAGTCTTTTTCTTAGAGAGACATTCTTTTTAAGATTTCTATCCTTATTCCTGTCCCCCATCTCTAGGAACCAGTTTTGTCCTCTCAGCTTGGCTAAGGAAGGTGGAAGCTGAATGGCATGGTTTCTGTACAAAAGATTTGGATACGTAGCATTTCAATTCTCCTAACGGCCACCTGTGACAGGTATTAGCAGTGCCACTTTAGTAATAAAAGACACAGGCTGGGTGCAGTGGCTCATGCCTGTAATCACAGTACTCTGGGAGGGCAAGGTGGGCAGATCACCTAAAGTCTGGAGTTCCAGACCAGCCTGGGCAACCTGGTGAAACCCTGTCTCTACTAAAAACACAAAATTAGCTGGGCATGGTGGCAGGCACTTGTAATCCCAGCTACTTGGGAGGCTGGAGCAGGAGAATCACTTGAACCTGGAAGGCAGAAGTTGCAGTGAGGTGAGATCACACCACTACACTCCAGCCTGGGTGACAAGCAAGACTCGGTCTCAAAAATAAAAAAAAAGAAAAGAAAAAGAAAAGGACACAAATTGCCTAGTCCAACGTTATATTGCTGGAGGGTGACAAGAGTTGGGACAGGCCCCAGTTTTGCCACTTTAGCACAGTTTTGTCAGGGGTTACTGAGGGGACTCTTCATTGATGGGAAGTTTTCAAGTGGCATATAGGAGAACGGTGTAGAAGTGGAATATGTGGAGAAACGTCTAGTGGGAATGTATGTGGAGCTGGTAAGTAGGGAGGTTGAAGAGAACTCACTTCACAGAAGAATTCATTGCCACGGAGCCCACAGAACCAGGAAATCCAGGACACCTCCTCTGAGCTGCTCATCTTCACGTCAGCTGGAAAACGAAGAGTGTCAGTAAAGCTCAAGTTCTCCCTCCTTGCCTCTGGTATCCTCCCTCCTCCCACATTCGGCCCTCCAACCACGGGAGAATTTAGAATTTGGAGCCACCCTTTTTTAAAGGATCCCAAACTCTGAAGCACTCCTCTCCAGCTCCTCTAATTTACATCTCAACTCAGCTCCTTTTCTTTGCAGTTAAACATACTTTCGGGTCCCACCACTTGAGAGAAGCCAACAGATACTTAGACCCACCAGCCTGACCCACATCCCTGGAGCTCCCAAAGGCCAGGGCCCGCTCTACTTCGTGTCAACTCCAGCACGGACCTCGGCTCGGGTTCCCTACCACTGCAGCTCTCTGCATGACCCCGGCGCCTTTCCCAAGGGTTTCGAAGTTTATCATTCTCAAGCAAGAGCCGGGTCCCTCCTTTTCTTACGGGCTGGGGGCGACCGTCAGGTCCCTTTCACTGGAGTCCCCACATCCCGCCTCCGCTCCTCAGGCCACCTCTCCCTCTTTTGTGCCGGACCTGGTCGCTTCCTCCCCCGCCCCCACATCAAAGTGCGGAGACCCCATGTGCTGCTCCCAACGACAAGAGACTCTGAGCAGCGACAACCTCAGACTCACCGGCTGGACGGGGACCGGAACTGGGGTGGGGTAGGGAAGTTACTAGTTCTAAAGAACGGCGGCGACCGCTACAGCGCAGGCCGCGGACCCGACCGCGGCAAGCGAAGTGGGTTGGCGGGGGGGGAGTGGAAATTGGGGAGGGTGGGGAAGAGGGCAACACGCAAGCGCCAAGGGTCAGGTGCCGCGATGGATGCCGGGACGCGGAGTCCCCGGTAGAAAGAGAAACTGGTGAAATGAAGGAAAAGCGAACTACCAATCCCAGGATGACCCGCGCACGACCTGGCTGTCACGAAGCCCCGGAGGAGGACGCTTGCGGGCGGGGCCGCAGCGAGAAGCCACCGGAAGCGGAAGCCAGGTATGGCGTTTGGGGCCAGGGAGCCTGGGAAATATAGTTGTGTGCTCACTGGGCGAAAAAGCCGAGATGGGGCGGGGAAACGAGGGAGCCACTCAGGAGCCTTCCCCCCAGCTCTCCTCACAGTTCCCCTCTAGTTCCAGCACGGCGCGGCGCGGCGCGGCGCGGCGCTGATGCTGCCCAGGGGACTGGCCCATCCCCGGCCAATCCGCTGGGTCCTTCTTGCCTGTTGAGCCCCTAGTGCAAGACAGTCCCGCCGGACACCCTTGACTGGCCTCGTTTTCCCCCCCGGCTCTGGCCTCATGAGGCTAGAGGTGCGGTTTGGCTCCGTGCGTAGGGACTTGTTGGGTTGGGTGGGCTGGGCTGAGCTGAGCGTTGTGAGAACCAGAACGGCCCAGTGCGCTAACCTGAGGTGGCGCCAGTCATTCTGCTCGTCCCCTTGCACGTCTCCATTTTCTCTTACGCTCTAAGGGTGACCTTAGAACCCTGGTCAGAGTAATGGTGAGGGGCAGGCGTGACGTTATTTCATTTCTCGGCATTCCACAGGTTTCCCTCCGCCTCCTGAGGGCCTTTCCTAACCTGGAGAGTGGATTCCCAGCTCCAGAAAATGGGCTTGGAGCGGGGAGCCACGTTGAGGAAGGCGAAGGGCATTGTGGGGGCGTTAGGTAAAAGTAGGACCCCAACCGACAGATCCTGGTGCTCGCGCCAGCTGGGCGCGCAGAGCTTTGCGCGTTTGCTATTGGAAAGGTTCCAGCGCGGGAAACTGAACTGGGAGCTCTGCGTATGCCTGAACCCTCAAGTACTGTTGGTTGTGGTTTTTGTTGTTGTTGTCGTCGCCACGCATGCGTCTGCGTGCCGTGTAGCTATTTGATTGCGTCATGTGTCAACTCTTTTGATTAGAATAGCGCCATTTTGCCGTACGGAAGCTACACATCAACGCAGACTGGAGCCTCTCCTCGAGATCTTCCTAGGGAGTGACTTCTATTTCGGAGGAAACTCCAAAATGGTATCGAGGAGGATTTAAAGGGACAGGCTGATTTTTTTCTTAATGGTATGTGTGTTTCACGGGGTGGTAAAATGGTTTCAGAAAGAGGCTGGTATTTATTGTTGGTGGGGGCGGGGGCGGGACGCAGGACCTCTGGACGACTGTCTTGTGGAGTTTTATTAACCTTTGCTAAGGAGCAGAGTCGGTTATTGTAGGGCTCCGTGTTTTTACACATAACCTCTTTCCCTTAGGCCCTGCGGGGTCCTAAGTTGTGGGGTCACTTTAGCGGCAGGAGGGTGCTTTTTGACTAGTTTTTCTCATCCCAGCATTTCCCTGGAGGCTTCGGTTGCTACAGGGGTCACCAGTAGCTTGGCTTGCTTGTGTCATCCTTTCCTTGCCTGGTTTCATTTTCTCATTTCTCCCAAAAGCCATGTCCCGGCCCTTCCTCATCACCTTCACCCCAGCCACTGACCCCAGCGACCTCTGGAAGGATGGGCAGCAGCAGCAGCAGCAGCCACAGCCCGAGGAGCCAGAGTCCACCCTGGATGGGGCTGCAGCCCGAGCTTTCTATGAGGCCCTGATTGGGGATGAGAGCAGTGCTCCTGACTCCCAAAGATCTCAGACTGAACCTGCCAGAGAAAGAAAGAGAAAGAAAAGAAGAATAATGAGGGCAGCTGCGGCAGAAGCAGTGGCAGCAGGACCATCAGGAAGACATGGACAAGGAAGATCCCTTGAGGCTGAGGACAAGATGACTCAGCAGATACTGAGGGCAGCCCAGGAGGGGGACCTAGCAGAACTCAGGAGACTGCTGGAGCCCCATGAGGCAGGAGGAGCTGGGGGGAATATCAATGCTCGGGATGCCTTCTGGTGGACTCCACTGATGTGCGCTGCTCGAGCAGGCCAGGGGGCAGCTGTGAGCTATCTCCTGGGCCGTGGGGCTGCCTGGGTGGGGGTCTGTGAACTAGGGGGTAGGGATGCGGCTCAGCTCGCTGAAGAAGCTGGTTTCCCTGAGGTGGCTCGCATGATCAGGGAGAGCCAAGGAGAGACAAGGAGCACAGAGAACCGGTGAGGGGAAACTTTAGTTCAGACCCATGTTTCAGTGTGTTCTGCCTTTCCCAGCCACTCCACACCAGAGGCCCCAGCACAGTGCTGAAGAGTTCTTTCCTTTTGCTCATGTGTAAATTGCCATGGTGGTATAGTCAAGTGGTTATGAATGTGAGCTCCCTGGATTAATTTATTTTATTACTTTTTTGAGACAGGGTTTCGCTCTTGTTGCCCAGTGATCTTGGCACACCGCAACCTCTGCCTCCTGGGTTCAAGCGATTCTCCTGCCTCAGCCTCCAAGTAGCTGGGATTACAGGCATGCTCCACCACACCTGGCTAATTCTGTACTTTTAGTAGAGACAGGGTTTTTCTATGTTGGTCAGGCTGGTCTTGAACTCCCAACCTCAGGTGATCCATCTGCCTCAGCCTCCCAAAGTGCTGGGATGATAGGCGTGAGCTACCATGCCCAGCAGCTCCCTGTATTTAAAGCCTCATTCCACTTACCTGGGCAAACAACCTAATGTCTACATGTCCCAGTTTTCTCATCTTAGAAATGGGGGTAGTAAGGATTGTTGTTAGTATTCAGTGGGTTAATACATGTAAAATGCTGGGTGCGGTGGTGCATGCCTGTAGTCCCAGCTATTCGGGAGGCTGAGGCTGGAGGATCTCTTGAGTTCAGGAGTTCTAGGCCGTAGTGCACTATGCCGATCAGGTGTCCTCACTAAGCTCGACATCAATATGGTGACCTCCTGGGAGCAGGGGACCACCAGGTTGCCTAAGGAGGGTGAACCGGCCCAGGTCGGAAACGGAGCAGTTCAAAACTCCCGTGCTAATCAGTAGTGGGATCATGCCTGTGAATAGCCACTGCACTCCAGCCTGGGCAACATAGCAAGACCCCGTCTCAAAAAAAAAAAAAGAAAAAGAAAAAAAATACATGTAAAATGCTAGAATAGTGCATGCTGCATAGTATGCGATATACGAATGTTAGCTGTAGTCATTACTTAACCATTAGTATCCACTTGACAAAGAGCTTGCTAGGCCTGGTTACCATTTTTTTCTTATAACTATTCTGCTCTGAGTCCAATGTGGTTTAAAAAAAATTTTTTTTTTAAGACAAGTTCAGTAGTGAGAAGCGGGGGAAAGTATAGTAAGGAGTTTGATCTATCACTGATTGAACAATCAGTTCAGATAATTCATCACCTTTGGATCAGCCTGGATCCCTCATTAAGTAGGAAGGATGGCAGTTTGTTCCTTTTTTTTTTTTTTTTTTTTTGAGACAAGGACTCACTGTTGCCCAGTTTGGGGTGCAGCGGTGCAATCTCAGCTCATTGCAACCTCTACTTCCTGGGCTCCAGCATATTTTTTGTAGAAAGTGGGCTTTGCCAGGGCATGGTGGCACATACCTGTAATCCCAGCTACTTGAGAGGCTGAGGCAGGAGAATCACTTGAACCTGGGAGTTGGAGGTTGCAGTGAGCTGAGATCGCGCCACGGCACTCCAGCCTGGGCAGCAGAGTCAGACTCCACCTCAAAGAAAAAAAAAAAAAAAGCAGGTTTTGCCCAGACTGGTCTCGAACTCCTGAGCTCAAAGCAATCTGCCCACTTCTGCCTCCCAAAATGTTGGGATTACAGGGGTGAGTCACTGTTCCCAGCCAGCAATTTGTTCCTTAGAAAAGCTGAAAGGATCCTGTCCCACCCTGCCAGCCCCTTTTCCTTCTCCTGCCCTTAATACTTTTTCTTCTTCATCTGCAGGTCTCCCACTCCTTCCCTCCAGTACTGCGAGACCTGTGACACCCACTTCCAAGATTCCAACCATCGCACATCCACTGCTCACCTGCTGTCACTGTCCCAGGGTCCTCGGCCTCCCAACCTTCCACTTGGGGTGCCCATCTCCAGCCCAGGCTTCAAACTGCTGCTGAGGGGGGGCTGGGAGCCAGGAATGGGGCTCGGACCCCGGGGCGAGGGCCGTGCCAACCCCATCCCCACTGTCCTCAAGAGGGACCAGGAAGGACTAGGCTACAGATCAGCACCCCAGCCCCGAGTAACACATTTCCCAGCTTGGGATACCCGAGCTGTGGCTGGGAAGGAGAGAGCCCCTCGGGTGGCCACACTGAGCCGGAGGGAGGAGAGTAGGAGGGAGGAGAAAGATAGGGCTTGGGAGCGGGATCTAAGGACTTACATGAACCTGGAGTTCTGAATTTGGTAAAGTCTGACCCTGGTCTGCTGAAGTCTGAACTTGGGTCTCTGACCTGGGCCCTTTGACTTCCGCTTCCTGGGATCTGCCCTGGTGCAGACCCTTGGGTTTTGGTCAGTGGGCTCTGCCTTTGCAAGAGACGGGCTGAGAGTGAGAAATAAATCAACCTTTTGTGGTTTATTCACTTTTCTGGAAGCTGTTTTGAGGAAGCCAAACTAGCCTGGGAGCCACATGCAAGTCCCACCTGAGCCAGAAGGGGCAGCCAGCCTCTCCAGGTGGCGTGTTAAGGTCACCTCCCTCCCTGCCAGACTGGATTTACTTTCAGGTCCTAGCCCCTCTTGGGAGTGCCCCGCCTGTTCTTTCAACCCGCCCTGGACCAGGAATTGCTGAGCTCAGTGCAAGTCTCACCCCCCCCAGGAAGAGTTTCCTGGCTACTCCAGCCAGTTCACTGATATTACAAACATAAGTCCATATACTATGTGCAAAGAATACAGGTAAAGACATTCCCAACCCTCAAAGAGTTCACAGCTGGAAGGGGCAACAGCCATGTGATCAAATATACAGGATGATAGGGGAAGTCAGAGAAGGCCCCTAGAGATGAACATGGGTAGGGTTTTGCTGAAAAAGGTCAGTGCAATAGGAAGGACCACGATTATCAAGCTTGTACACTTAGTTGAACTGGGACCAGAACTCTGGCCTCCAAATATAAACTTTAAGTCAAGGTTCTTCGTTCCACCTGTTTGACTACACCTTTCCATACTTCCCCACCCTCCCACCACCACACCCTTGTCTTGCTTATGCCAGGTGCTAGGCAAAGGAAGAGCTCACTGTTGTGAAGCCTAGGAATTAAAATTTGCAGAGAGGGCCAGGGGAGGGCTGTTCGGTTTGCAAGACTTCTCTCATTTTTTTCCTTTCTGGGAAAGCCTTTCATGAAGTTTTGGATGCAAAATGGAGGAGTGGTAGGGATGTGAAAAAGAGCCCAGGGGTAGGGGGCGACCGAGTGTAGGGGCGCATGGGAGGCCCAGGAAAATGGAGACCTGGGTTTATGTTCAGGTCTCGGCCCTTGCTGCTAGCTTGGCGCCCCGCGGTCCGGCGCGCACGGACAGTGCAGTGACACGGGGGCGGTCGAACCACAGGGTCCGCCCATGAGCTGCGGCACCGCCCCCGCGGGTCCTTCCCGTCCCGGTGCAGCTGCTTCCGGGCTCCGCGGCTCCCGGCGGCTCCGCGAGGCCGCGGCCCCAACGCTGGGCCGGGGAGCGGCCCCTGCGCACATCACCCGGTTGCGTGGGTTCCCCAGGTAGGCTCATGCTTTGTCTTGCGACTGGGATCTCCGAGGACATCTTAGTTCTGACCTTGCGGAGGTCGCGTCTCTGCTGCGTGTTCGCGGGCCAATCGAGCCACTTCGTAGAAGTCATAGCCCTCTAAATCAAGAGACGAACGCTGCTGGCTGGAGTTTGCTGGACACTTTCATTCCACCTCCCAACAAAGAAAATTCCTATTCCGCGAGGTCCCTTGGGGCAGCAGTTAAAAACTACACAATCCAGGAGTACCTAGGACTTGGGTCCACCTTCCTGCCTGCTTTCTTGGATGAAGCACTGCCTCCCCAGTTTCTGGGGCACCTTGGGGCGTGGCCTTGGTGAGTGAAACTTGGGGTGCTGCCTGCTGGGAAGGAAATCCGGAAACAGAGGACACTCTGGTGGTGACCCAGGCCTTGTCAGATCTGAGACTCTTGGAACCTTGTTTGTGGGGGTGTGGATGGTGAATGAATTTGGGTATGCCTCCCTTTATCCCAAAACTGAAGAGGAAGCAAACCACTTGCCACACTTGAGGCTGCATGATCCTTCAGAGAAGGGAGGAGCAACTTCTGAATTCAGAGTACCACTGCATCACCAGGCAAATATCTGTTCTAAGCCAAAAAGACTCTGGCTTCTGAGGAGATCCTGAGAGTCTGAGCAATACCAGGAAGCAGCCTCAGAATTTAGGGGCCCATCACACACCCCAACCATGTTCCTGCGACGGCTTGGTGGCTGGCTACCTCGCCCCTGGGGCCGCCGGAAACCAATGAGGCCTGACCCACCTGACCCAGAACCCAGACCGGTGGACAGCTCTCCTGAGAATTCAGGAAGTGACTGGGATAGTGCCCCAGAAACCATGGGAGATGTGGGGCCTCCCAAGGCCAAGGACTCAGAGGCATTGAGGGTTTCTAGAGCTGCTTCCAAACCAAGCAGTGAGCTCCAAGCTGAGCAGCTAGGTAGCAAAACAATGGATTCCCTCAAGTGGGACCAGCCTGTCTCTAGTGCTCAAGAGTCTGGGAGACTAGAGGCTGGAGGGGCCATTCCCAAACTCGGATGGGATCATGTGGATTCAGGTGGTACCAGAAGATCAGGGGTGACCCCTGAAGGGGGATTGAGCGTCCCTGGGCCAGAAGCCCCAGTGGATAAACCTGGCAGGCATCAGAAGCTATTGGGCTGGCTTCAGGGGGAACCAGGAGCTCCTTCCCGGTACTTGGGGGGCCCAGAGGAGTGTCTGCAGATCTCCACCAATCTGACCCTGCATCTGCTGGAGCTGCTGGCCTCTGCCCTGCTGGCCTTGTGTTCACGACCACTGCGGGCAGCCTTGGACACATTGGGCCTTCGTGGACCGCTGGGCCTCTGGCTACATGGCCTACTGTCCTTCCTGGCTGCCCTGCATGGGCTCCACGCTGTTCTGAGCCTACTTACTGCCCACCCTTTGCACTTTGCCTGCCTCTTTGGTCTCCTGCAGGCCCTGGTGCTGGCTGTCAGCCTCCGGAAGCCCAGTGGGGATGAGGAGGCCACTGACTGGGAGAGTAAGGGGTTGGAGGGGGAGGGGGAGGAGCAGAGGGGAGACCCAGGAAAGGGGCTGTGATCATGGGGTGGGGTGGGGGCAAAGGGTGAAGATAGTGTGGGCTTTAGGAGAAAAGTGTGGGGCATGACCCAGATTGTAAGCATAGGGATCTCAGGGATGGGGAAGAAACCCCAGAGTATGAGGATGTGGGCCCCCCTTTATGCACAGGAGAGAACAGCTATTTAGTGTGTTTGTGTATGGACAGTGAGGGCATTACCCTTGGATTCACCAGCTGTTACTACTTTTTGCTTTTACATTTCTCCCACTTTCAGTTTTTTCTATCCACCTCCACTTTTTAAAAGCAAAAAAAAAAAAAAAAAAAAAAGTGTGGTGGTAGGTAGAGAATAAAGACCAAAGGGTCCTCTCTACCTTTCAAAACTCTCCTGCAGTGGAGGAGACCAGGGCAGGATAGACAGACCTCTGCAGGAAGAGAATGGTTGGGACACCCAAGGTACTCCTTGGATCTTGGGATCTGAGCCATCGAGGGAAGAGTGGAGCTGCTAGCAAGTGGATTAGGGGGTCTGTTTAGGGCTCCACAGGTGACAAGGAGCCTGCAGGGCGGATCTGATGATCATGGGAGCCAGAGGGAGTGGGGACAGTGCAGGCAGTATTGGCAGGAGGGCCAGTGCAGAAGGGCTGGTACCTCAGGCAGTGTGGGGGGAGCACTGGAGCTTGTAGTCCCCACTTGGGGGCTAGGGGTTTGCTCACTTAGCAATAAATGACTGTGTCACACCAATTCCTAAATATACCACTACAAAGTGAGAGTTACTGCCACTCTGTTCTTCCTGACGCCGTCCAGCTGGGGGTTTAGGTGGTAGAGGATCCAGGGGGAGTGTTGAAATGGGAAGAGTGGGAATGACGTCTGGAGACAAACCCCAGAATGAGGATTGAAAAATCATCTTTATTATCTTAAATGGGAGTTGAAAGTCTCCAGCTTCTCCCTCCAACTCAGCTCCCACTGCACCCGTCTGGGGACTTAGATGAAGTTACAGGTCAGTTTCTAGCTCACAGGGCTCTGTGATGGGAAGAGGGAGAAGAGAAGAGGACAGAAAAGAAGTCCAGGGAGAAAAGCAAAGTTGACAGTAATGGGGTGGGGGAGGGGGGTGCGTTCCTTCATTTCCTGTCTCAAAGGAGTCTCTAAGGCCCTTTTCCCCCACGTCTGACTCTCTGCCCCCTTTATTTAGTGCAAACTCAGAAACCTCTTTTTTTATTCTTTGAGACGGAGTCTTGCTCTGTCGCCAGGCTGGAGTGCAGTGGCGAGATCTCGGCTCACTGCAACCTCTGCCTCCAGGGTTCAAGCAATTCTTCTGTCTCAGCCTCCAGAGTAGCTGGGACTATAGGTGCACACCATCACACCAGCTAATTTTTGTATTTTTAGTAGAGACGGGGATTCACCATGTTGGCCAGGATGGTCTTGATCTCTTGACCTCATGATCTGCCTGCCTCAACCTCCCAAAGTGCTGGGATTACAGGCATGAGCCACGGTGCCTGGCAAACCTCTCTTTTAAGTAGCTCAGAACCCATCCTGGCTCCCTCAGGGGACATCACAACTCTTAGCCACATGCCTCTAGTGACATTGCACAAGCCTCTTTCACCCTGTAATCCCAGAAGACTTGGTGGGTCCTAAGCCTCTTCTGTGAGACTTTAACCCCTTACCTTGATTCCTGGGAGTCAGTAAGAAGGCTTTGGAGGCCAGGCAGGAAGTCAGGGACTTGAATTCCTCCACACACTTTTTGGGAGGATATGGTGAGCGATCTGGAAGGGCAAGATAGGGCCAGGCCAGTCAAAACCCCTGGAAGCACCTAGCTCTTTCTGGGAGGATGTCATAGGGCCCAGAGTGAGGAGTCCTCCGTCCTCCCTTGTTTTCCTCCAAACCTTCCTGCCCTGCATTCCCACTCACTGTAGAGGAGAAAGCGCTGGTAACCCTGGCCTGTCTCGTTCAGCATGATTCCACCTGGGCATGAGCTGGAGAAGAGCTCAGTCTTCATGTCAGGGCGGCCTGTCAAGGTAGGTGCGGAGAAGCATGAGAACAGAGATGCAGAACCAAGCTCAGGGGACATGGGAAGGGTGAGGGCTGGGAAGAAACCTTCAGTTCTGAGATCTGTGCTCCCTTCAGTCAGGTGGTAGATCCATTTCCGGGGCACACAGCGCCCATCTTTCCTGCAGAGGTCATGGTGGCAAGGAGGAAAGAATGAGCATCACCCCAACTACAGTGTACCAGCTTCTTTTTTTTTTTTTTTTTTTTTGAGACAGAGTTTCGCTCTTGTTACCCAGGCTGGAGTGCAATGGCGCGATCTCGGCTCACCGCAACCTCCGCCTCCCGGGTTCAGGCAATTCTCCTGCCTCAGCCACCTGAGTAGCTGGGATTACAGGCACGCGCCACCATGCCCAGCTAATTTTTTTGTATTTTTAGTAGAGACGGGGTTTCACCATGTTGACCAGGATGGTCTCGATCTCTTGACCTCGTGATCCACTCACCTCGGCCTCCCAAAGTGCTGGGATTATAGGCTTGAGCCACCGCGCCCAGCCCATCTTATTCTTTATTGAAGCCCAGCTCTCCATGGGTTTCAAGCTACTAAGCATTGGTTAGGCCCATCTCTCTCCAGAGGACAATTAATACAGCCATTGAATTCCATGGGTCAAGAATAATGGATATATCACCTAAGAAAGAGCCCAGCTCTTGGTGGGTGGGTTGTCACACTTTTGGCAGAGACTGAACCCACTAATGCTTCTGCCTCCTCATCACTCACATGCGGATGGTAGCACGAAGGTGGAACTGCATTGGGATAGAGCCAGCAGCCATGTTGAAGACAATGCTGTCCACAGGGTCAAAAGTTGCCAACTCCTTCATGGTGGGAGCTGCCCCTGCAATAAAGTGCCACTGGCCCAGGTGGACCTCTGGGAGCTGGAGAGACAATGAGGGGAGCAAGAGGGTGGGTTCCCCCAGCACAGGACAGGTCCAACCTCTTCATCAGTCAGGACAGCAAGACTTAGTGGTAGAGGTGTTGGCTGCCTTCTTCTTTCCAACTGGGATTGGATCCATGACAAAGAATCATTAAATGACTTTTCCTCTTTGCCTCTCTCCAATCAACCTGGGTAACCACCCCACCCCCCATTTCTGCCATACCTCTGCATTGATGGCCACAGTACTGATATTTTTCTTCTTGCTTTCATTTTCACAACACTCACACCCCCTTCCTCCCTTCCTTTCCCAGGATGGCTTCCAATAATTCTAGGCTGTCCACCCAGGTCCCCTCAGAGCTTCCACCATGGGCTTCCCCCAGTCTCAGTCCATACCTCCTTCCCATCCACGCCCAGAGTTGTCAGTTGACTGTGCTCAGGGCACTGGTAGATGGAGTTAAGGATAATACCATAGAGGTAGAGCAGAGCTACCCAAATTTGGTAGAACATCTTCAGGCAGGAGGGAGCTGGTGCTGTGTGTGCCTTAACTGCTCTTTCCCCTACTGGCTGCTCACTCCACTCTGCTTTTCCCTTGCACTCGACCCTTGACCCTTTCACCTGCTAATGAATAACTTCAACTTTGTTTTCCAATCCAAACCTGGATTACTTAGTGTTTGGGACATCCGCCCCCTCTTCTGGATGCAATCACTCAAGAGGACACCCTGACATGTCCAGGGTTTCTCAGGAGTTATGAGGAGAGCTGAGCCGTCCAGGTAGAAGCCTGTGGTCTTTCAACTCATATGTGAGCCTGTATGTGAGCTGCACTGTATGGCACTGAAGAGAAGTAGTTTGATTGGGCCTCTCATTCATTCACTTAGCAAACTGTTTTTGAGTTCCAGGTGTTTTCCAAGAACTGGCTAATCCCCAGGGACATAAGTCAGTATAGGGAAAACTGGCTCTTTAGACAAATCACTGCAATACAACCCGATAAGTGGCTTTAGAGCAGTATGATGCAGGTGCTGGGGCACAGTGGATTGCTCTCTAGTTTATATCTGGAAAAATATGTATACCCTGGCAATGTTCACAGACACATAAATATGTTCATTCACTCAACATTTATTACTACAAAGAGGCTATGTAATCTGGCTGTTAAAGAGGATAGATGTTGGTGTCCGGCAGAACATGTCCAAACCCTAACTACAGGCGGGGCATGGTAGCTCATGCCTGTAATCTCAGCACTTTGAGAGGCCAAGGTGGGCTGATCGCTTGAGCCCAGAAGTTCGAGAGCAGCCTAGGCTACATTGCAAAACTCTGTCTCTACAAAAAATTAGCCGGATGTAGTGGCACACACCTGTAGTCCCAGCTACTAGGGAGGCTGAGGTGAGATGATTGCTTGAGCCCAGGATGTGGAGGCTGTAGTGAGCCCTGATTGTGCCACTGCACTCCAGCTTGGGTGACACAGTGAGACTCTGTCTCCAAACAAAAACCAAAAAAACCCAAAAAACAAAAACAAAAAACAAACAAAAAAAACCCCACCAACCCCTAACTACTATGTCTGTTTTTTCATCTGTAAAATTGGCAAATCATCATTCTCATAGGATTAAATGAAATAATGCCCATAAAGCCCTTAGCAAAGACTGTGCATGGTAAGTCCAAAGTATGTATTTGCTACAATTAATAGTAATGTTTGCAAAGCACTTAGTTTCTGGTGGGTAGTAAGTGCTCAAATAATAGATGGTAAGAATTGCCAAACAGGCTGTCATTTGCCAAACAAACTGCTCCAAGTGACTGGAGCAGTTAACGCTCTGAGATGTGGGGCTTCCTTGATAATTATTTATTTATTTATTTATTTGAGACAGAGTCTCAATCTGTTTCCCAGGCTGGAGTGCAGTGACGCAATCTTGGCTCACCGCAACCTCCACCTCCCGGGTTCAAGAAGTTCTCTGCCTCAGCCTCCTGAGTACCTGGCATTACTGGCACCTGCCACCATGCCAGGCTCATTTTTGTATTTTTAGTAGAGATGAGGTTTCATCATGTTGGCCAGACTGGTCTCAAACTCCTGACCTCATGATCTGCCTGACTCAACCTCCCAAAGTGCTGGGATTATCGGTGTGAGCCACTGCACCCAGCCTACTTATTTATTTTTTTAGCCAGTCAAATTTAGCAGTTGGTGGTGGTGGGGGGGGTTGTATACCAACTTTAGTGACACTGTTAATAAGTTCTGATACCTGCTACCATCAGACCAGCCCTACTTATTTATTTATTATTTATTTATTTATTTATTATTATTATTATTATTATTTTTTGAGACAGAGTTTCCCTCTTGTTACCCAGGCTGGAGTGCAATGGCGCGATCTCGGCTCACCGCAACCTCCGCCTCCTGGGTTCAGGCAATTCTCCTGCCTCAGCCTCCTGAGTGGGTGGGATTACAGGCACGCGCCACCATGCCCAGCTAATTTTTTTTTAGTATTTTTAGTAGAGACGGGGTTTCACTATGTTGACCAGGATGGTCTCGATCTCTCGACCTCGTGATCCACCCGCCTCGGCCTCCCAAAGTGCTGGGATTACAGGCTTGAGCCACCGCGCCCGGCCCCTACTTATTTATTTTTAAAACAACTCTGTCGCCCAGGCACCATTACAGCTCACTACGACCCTGACTTCCCGGGCTCAGATGATTCTGGGGTAGGAACTACGGGCACACACCATCACATCTGTCTAATTTTTCGTAGAGACAAGGTTTCACCATGTTGTATAGGCTGGTATTAAACTCCTGGGCTCAAGCAATCAGCCCGCCTCAGCCTCCTAAAGTGTTGGGATTACAAGCATCAGCCACCATGCCTAGCTTGATAGATTATTTATATCCCATGGACTGCCACAAAAAATTTGCCCTGAGGGATGAGGCTCGTGTTTTTGTTAAAAACAAAATTTGGGTGACCGGTATATTAGAGTTCATTATACTATTCTATTTTGATGAAATGTTTGAAAATTTTTGTAATAAAAAGCTAAAATGCCTGGTCGACATGGTGAAACCCCGTCTCTACTAAAAATAACAAAAAATCAGCTGGGCATGGTGGCGTGTGCCTGTAATCCCAGCTACTCAGGAGGCTGAGGCAGGAGAATTGCCTGAACCCAGGAGGCGGAGGTTGCAGTGAGCCGAGATCGCGCCATTGCACTCCAGCCTGGGTAACAAGAAGGAAACTCCGTCTCAAAAAAAAAAAAAGCTAAAATGTGGCTAGGCACGGTAGTTCACACCTGTAATGCCAGCACTGTGGGAAATCAAGGTGGGAGAATTGCTTGAGGCCAAGCGTTCAAGACCAGGCTAGGCAACACAGTGAGACTCCATCTCCAGAAAAATAAAATTAGCAGGGTGTGGCATGCATCTCTGGTCTCTACTACTTGGGAGACTGAAGTGGGGGGATCGGTTGGGCTCGGGAGGCAGAGGCTGCAGTGGGCTGTGATTGTGCTACTGCACTCCAGTCTGGGAGACAAAGCCAGATCCTTCCAAAAAAAAAAAAAAAAAAAAAAAAAAATTGGCTGGATGTGGTGGCTTACGCCTGTAATTCCAGCACTTCGGGGGGCCAAGGCGGGCAGATCACAAAGTCAGGAGATCAAGACCATTCTGGCCAACATGGTGAAACCCTGTCTCTACTAAAAATACAAAAATTAGCTGGGCGTGGTGGCAGGAGCCTGTAGTCACAGTTACTCAGGAGGCTGAGGCAGGAGAATTGCTTGAACCTAGGAGGCGGAGGCTGCAGTGAGCCAAGACCACGCCACTGCACTTCAGCCTGGGCGACAAAGCAAGACTGTCTCCAAAAAGAAAAGAGAAGAAAAAAATGTGTGTGTGTGTATGTGTGTACTTAATAAATAAGCTAAAAGGCAACAACAATTTTTTATTGGGGCAGTAAAGTACAAGTGCTCAATCTGGACTCCTGTAGGCCTGGATTTGTCAGTTCTGCCACTTAGTTCGTCTAAGTGTACTCACCTCTAAAATGTTAAAAGGCTTATGTTAAAAGGCTGTTTAAGGTAAGACAATAAACAAAACCCTTAGTATATGGGCTGGCAGAAGTGCTCATTAAACAGCTGTTTATTAGAACTCTTTTTTTTTTTTTTTTTGAGACGGAGTTTCGCTCTTGTTACCCAGGCTGGAGTGCAATGGCGCGATCTCGGCTCACCGCAACCTCCGCCTTCTGGGTTCAGGCAATTCTCCCGCCTCAGCCTCCTGAGTAGCTGAGATTACAGGCACGCACCACCATGCCCAGCTAATTTTTTTGTATTTTTAGTAGAGACGGGGTTTCACCATGTTGACCAGGATGGTCTCGATCTCTTGACCTCGTGATCCACCCGCCTCGGCCTCCCAAAGTGCTGGGATTACAGGCTTGAGCCATCGCGCCCGGCCAGAACTCTTAACTAAAATATAACCAGAACCTGGGTATAAACTATGAATCCCAGAAAGGCTGGGCACCCCAGCAACGATGTGCTTTCTGGAGGACTCGCAGTTTCGCGAGGCCGAGGCCCTTTTCTTAGGAAAGCTTAAAAGAAGAGGGCAAAGAGAGGCGGTAATGCCTCCACTCCCGCCTTCGGAAGCACGCTGGCTCGCCTTTCAATTCCCCACGGTCAGGGTCTTGTCTTTTGGTCCACTCGGACTCCATTTGCTCCCAATTCTCAAACTCGGAGGCGCCTCTTTTCTTGACCAAAGTCCTGCAAGTTAGCAGCATGCTTAGCTTTCCTAAAACGTGTCATGTCCCCGTGGACGCACACCGCCTACGAACGTGACACCCACAGCCCGCAGAACGCCCACCCGGCCGAACCGATATCTAGCCCGAATAACCAACCAAGAACCAAATACACCCTTGCCGCCCCCAAACGCCTACTGAAAGTGGAACTTCCGGTGGCAGAGAAAGAAGGGCGCAGCGAGGGCGGTAGGGTCGGGAAGAGTTTTAGCTGGCTAGGACGGTGCCGCCTGAAATTCTCAGCCTGCCAAGACTCAAACATAGTTTAATGTGGCATAATCCCCCATCTCCAAATTCTAAGGTCCATACGACCGTCCATAGCCCCTCTCGAGGCAGTGGTAGACTCCTATCTGGCGATTGTTTTTCAGGCATTTACGATAGCCACCTCAATCTTCCGGCGCTCAATCGCTCGCACAGAAGCGAGCGCAGAGGGGGGGCGGGGCGGTGCTTCAGTGTGTACGCATACGTAGTGCAACGCACGCAGGCGTAGTACGGTCCCCTGGGCGACGGCGGCGGCGGCTCCTCGGGGTGCTCGGCTCCCTCCCACCTAGGCCGGCCCCGGCCCGACTCGCCCTCAGAAACTCACTGGGGCTGCGGACTTTCTCGTCGTGCCCCGCAAAAGTAAAGCTTGGGGACCTGGGGGGAGCCAGAAGTATCGCCTTGAGATCCCCGAATACTATCGTGGAAACGGAAGTGGCCGTCGGTGGCAGGTTGGGGGAGACCGGAAGTGACGGTCCGTGGGGAAGTCGGGGGCGGAGCCGCGGGGTCGTGGGGTGTGTGTGTGTGTGTGTGTGTGTGTGTGTGTGTGTTTGGTCGTAGGTTAGTCGTGCCGTTCTGCCGGAACATCGTGGGAAGGCAGTAGACTGGGG